TTTCTTTCTTTCTTTCTTTCTTTCTTTCTTTCTTTCTTTCTTTCTTTCTTTCTTCTGTGTATAATTTGCTACAGGAAGATTCCCTGAGCTGCTTTCTTTTAGTGCTATATGATTCCTTCTAAGCAGAGCTTTCTGAGCATGGCTTTTTGAAAAGCAGAGGTGAACTCAAAACGCCAGATGTTAAACACACCAGAATCACATTTTTTTTCCTTTCCAGATGATTTGCAGAGTCGTCCTTAGAGGAGAACGATTTCTGCAGAGAAAAATACTAATAGATTGATCTATGAGCAGCAGGCAACAATATTCTCCTCTTAGACAGCAAAACATCCATCAATTAACAATGAAAAGATTCTGGATAAAAGAATTCTGGATAAAAGTGGGGCCTTGGACTCCTAGTGCATGATCACTTAAACATAAGACAGCAGTGTGCAATGGCAGCCAAAAAATCTAGTACAATCCTTGGTTGTATAAACAGAGGCATAGAATCAAAATCACGTCAAGCGTTAGTACCACTTTATAAAACTTTACTAAGACCACACCTGGAATACCGCGTCCAGTTTTGGTCACCATATTATAAAAAAAGATGTTGAGACTTTGAAAAAAGTGCAGAGAAGAGCAACTAAGATAATTAAAGGCCTGGAGGCTAAAACATAGGTAGAACAGTTGCAGAATTTAGGTATGTCTAGTCTAGTGAAGAAAAGGACTAGGGTTGACATGATAGTAGTCTTCCAGTATTTGAGAGGCTGCCACAAAGAAGAGGAGGTCAAATTAGTCTCCAAAGCACCTGAAGGCAGGAGAAGAAGCAATGGATGGAAACTAATCAAGGAGAGAAGCAACCTAGAACTAAGGAGAAATTTTCTGACAGTGAGGACAATTAACCAGTGGAACAGCTTGCCTTCAGAAGTTCTGACTGCTTCATCAATGGAGGTTTTTAAGATGAGACTGGACAGCCACTTGTCTGGAATGGTATCTGGTCTCCTGCTTGAGCAGGGGGTTGGACTAGAAGACCTCAAAAGTCCCTTCCATCTCTCTTCAATTTTATTCTATCCCTGGGTCCATATACATCTCATGATGTTTCATATCTGGCTTCCATCTTCTCCAGACTCAGTAATACTCAACCAGCTGCCCTGTTCAGACATCAAAGGTAAAGATTCCCTTCCCACATATATGCTAGTCGTTCCTGACTCTAGGGGGCGGTGCTCATCTCCATTTCAAATCCGAAGACCCAGCGCTGTCCGAAGATGTCTCCGTGGTCACATGGCCGGCATGACTCAACGCCAAAGGTACACGGAACACTGTTGCCTTCCCACCAAAGATGGTCCATATTTTTCTACTTGCATTTTTTACATGCTTTTGAACTGCTAGGTTGGCAGAAGCTGGCACAAATAATGAGAGCTCACCCCATTACACGGCACTAGGGATTCGAACCGCTGAACTGCCGACCTTTCGATCGACAAGCTCAGCATCTTAGTCATTGAGCCACCGCGTCCCTCTTGAGCCACTGCGTCCCTCTTGAGCCACCGTATCCCCCTTCGGACATTAGGCAAGATAAAGTGGTATAGAGCTAGCCACAGTGAAGTCTCAAAAATACTCACATTTGAGTGACGCTTCTATTAAGAATTTTGAAGCAAGGTCATTAGGTTGAAATAAATCCAGGTCAAGTAGTTTCAGACTGCCTTGAAAAGATTTTTGTTTTCAACCATGTGCTAATGCAGCTGTGAACATGGACATTACATTTCCCCCCTTCCCATTCCCCCACCCTTCGTTTAGTTGGCTTAAGACACTCAACAGCTGCTGTTTGCTAGAGAGCAGTTCTTGCAGGTTTAAAAATTGACGCTGCCGTGCAGATGTGTTCATGGCTCAGGAATCAAATGACCACACCAGGGCTAAAACAATATGCCAAGCAGGCCATTGGTTTTGGACTCCTAGAATTCCAGATGCAAAAAGCTGGCATTTGACATTTGAATATGAGCCAGCAGTGTGCGGCCGCCGCCAAAAAAAGCTAATACAATCCTGGTTTGTATAAACAGAGGCATAGAACCAAGATCACGCGAAGGAGTATTAGTAGCGCTTTACAAATCCCAAGTAAGACCACATCTGGAATACTGCAAACAATTTTGGTCACCATACTACAAACAGGATGTTGAGACTTTGGGAAAAGTAGAGATAAGGGCAACTAAGATGATCAAAGGCCTGGAGACTAAGACATATGAATATGGTTCGAATCTCGCCAGGCTCAAGGTTGACTCAGCCTTCCATCCTTTCTAAGGTAGGTAAATTGAGGACCCAGTTTGTGGGGGCAATAAGCTGACTTTGTATAAATATACAAAAGGATGAAGGCTATTGCTGAGCACATTGTTAAGCCGCCCTGAGTCTCCAGAGAAGGGTGGCATATAAATCAAATTAAAAAAATATATATATGCAGGATTTGGGTTTGGTTAGTCCAGGGGTTTCCAACCTTAAACACTCAAAGAGCCATTTGGACCCGTTTCCCACAGAAAAGAAAACATCGGGAGCCACAAAAACCGTCCCCGTGCCTGACAATTTCTTGAGCGGCCACAAAACTAGCCTATGTAGTTGAATTAAACAATATTAATTACAGTTTCAAATGTTCACGTTGTAAGGAGTGTAATTAATCAACTTTCTTTCAAAATCAAATACAATGAGTGAAAAGGGAAGGAAGAATATCTTTGTATTTGTTTTACAATAGTAATTTTTGGTCTTGGGGTAAATTATCTTGTTATTAAATTCTCCATCCTGTTGTTGTACGGTAAGGACTATTATAATTTTGACATTTGCTTTCTGGTAAAAAAATAATTTCCGCTGTCGTTGAAAAGGCAGCATTGCCACCTGCTGGGAAATACGTGAACTGCACCAGATCTTGCCACCCGTCAGCCCGATAGCTAAACAAAACAGCTGAATTCACCTGTTCTTTTTTTTTAAAAAAAATCCAAAATACCTATTTTCACTTGAAGAATATGCCTTCCAATGATGAGGCGTGGAAGTGAATTGCTTTCGAACTTCAACTGAAGAATCCTTTAAGGTTTTCCTGTCTCTGTTCTCCAAATGTATGAAGTGAAAACTTGAGGGTTTAAGTATAAAAAAGTCACTTGGTTAAAAACAAAATTTCTGAGTAATTGCTACGTGTTTCTAAGGATCTAGCCCAATAACTCCAACACAAGTTAGATTTGATTCAAAAGCATTTATTCATATCTTGCTTATCTCTTGCAGGTGAACATCTGGAATGGCCCTGGACTCCTGGACAATACCTTATATACCTGGGAGGCAGAGTCAAGGTGAGGAGGGGTCAAGGGATGGATAGTGTTAACCCTTGCCCTGCCATGGGTACACAATGTTAGGCATTTACATGTAACAGTAATGGGTACAGATAGTCCTCGACTTGTTTGTTTAATGACCGTTTAAAGTTACAACGGCACTGAAAAAGTGACTTATGGCCATTTTTCACACTTATGACTGTTTTTTCAGCCCATTTTTCGCCTGTTTTTGTGAAAAACAAGGCACGCAGAGGGTTTGGGAGGCCTGCAGAGTGCTCCTGGAAACTGGGGAGGGCAAAAACGCCCCTGTTATTTTGCAAAAATCGGGCGAAAAACACGCCTGTTTTTGCAAAAATGGAACGAGCAGGGCTTCGGGAGGCCAAAAATGGCTGTATTTGGTGTATAAGACGCATCAACATTTCCACCCTCTTTTAAGGGGGGGGGAGGAGAAGGTGCATCTTATACTCCAAAAAATATGGTACATTTTGAGCTCGATTGTGGTCATAAGTTGAGGACTGCCTGCCAACTGCAACAGCATCCTCTGGAGATGTTTCAGGTGTTTACTCTTTAGGATGACCTTGGAAACTTGGGCAGTACATGGATTTTACCTGTTGGAATGTTTTTTGTGGGCATTCATTGTTCTGGTTTTTATTATTATTATTATTATTATTATTATTATTATTATTATTATTATTAATTGTTGCTATTTTTTTTTATGTTAAATGCCATCCGGAATCTGGTGGAGCCGAATGAACTCATCTGAATTCCAAATTCTGCTTTCTCTATGACTTATTTGGGACTCGTCTTTTTACATGCGCAAACGGCAATGAGGAATCCCAGGAACATCACAGAACCAAGACTTATGAGCACGATTTGGGAAATGTTCAGCAACTTGATCTTGTCGGTCACTTTTGATCGGAAAAGTTCTGCTTTCTCATCACTGATTATAGCCGTCTAGAGAAAAAAACAAAAGGGGGGGGGAAATAATTCAGCATCATTCCAGCAGAAGAATTACTGCCTCAATACTCAACAGTTGTAATGCTTTTTCTCCACCCCCAAATAAGAGCCAACTTGCAATGTGCATAATTTTGCATAAAATTATGCAAAATTATGCACATTCTGCAACCAAGATGATGAGGGGACTGGAGGCTAAAACATACAATGAACGGTTGCAAGAGCTGAGCATGGCTAGTCTAGTGAAGAGAAGGACCAGGGGAGACAAGATAGCAGTCTTCCAATATCTCAGGAGCTGCCCCAAAGAAGAGGCAGTCAAGCTAGTCCCATCAGCCTCTACTTCAAGAAGTGTTCGGGGTTGTTATTTTGCTGCTTATTCTAAGCACGTTTTAAAAATGTACCAGTGACCTTAAAAGCAAACATCCACTTCTAAATTAATGAATATCCGGTTTAAATTAATTGCAATCACATCGCTGAAACGAGTAAGGTAGCTATGGCTTCCTGGCTATTGAGAATCAACCTTGTCGAATGTTGGTAAAACCTTTCCAAGCTCAGCATCTGAATGCATTATTTTTCCATTTAATGTCACTAACATTTAAAGCCTGGATAGCTCAGCAGACGAATGCATTGTAATTTAACTCCAGCTGTCTGCAATTAGTAAGTTCGAATCTCGCCAGGCTCAAGGTCGACTCAGCCTTCCATCCTTTCTAAGGTAGGTAAATTGAGGACCTAGTTTGTGAGGGCAATAAGCTGACTTTGTAAAAATATACAAAAGAATGAAGGCTATTGCTTAACGCATTGTAAGCCGCCCTGAGTCTCCGGAGAAGGGCGGCATATAAATCAAATTAAAAAATAAATAAATAGGGGACTGGAGGCTAAAACATATGAAGAATGGCTGCAGGAACTGGGTATGTCTAGTTTAATGAAGAGAAGGACTAGGGGAGACATGATAGCAGTCTTCCGATATCTCAGGGGCTGCCCCAAAGAAGAGGAAGCAAAACTATTCTCCAAAGCACCTGAAGGCAAGACAAGAAGCAATGGGTGGAAACTAATCAAGGAGAGAAGCAACTTAGAATTTAGGAGAAATTTCCTGACAGTGAGAACAATTAATCAGTGGAACAACTTGCCTCCAGAACTTGTGAATGCTCCAACACTGGAGGTTTTTAAGAAGAGGTTGGATAACCATTTGTCTGAAGTGGTGTAGGGTTTCCTGCCTAAGCAGGGGGTTGGACTAGAAGACCTCCAAGGTCCCTTCCACCTCTGTTGAGTGGAAGGAGTGGGATTTGGGGGTTCTCCGAATTGCACAGAATCATATCGTGTTTCCCTGAAAATAAGACCCTGTCTTATATTTTTTTAACCCCGAAATAAGTGTTTGGCCTTCTTTTCGGGGAGGTCTTATTTTTGGGGGGACATGTGGAACAAGATTTATTTATTTATTTATTTAATTTGATTTGTATGCTGGCCTATTTCCATAGGACTCAGGGCGGCTCACAACAATTAAGAAATACAATCTCAATCCAAATAAAAACATGTTAAAAATACATATTAAAACACATTAAAAATAATCAAAACCCCATCAATCCAGGCTGGGCAATTTAAACAACCATGTTTTTAGTTCGCGGCGGAAAGTGCGTAGGTCAGGGGCCCACCGGAGCCCCAGGGGGATGTTGATTCCAAAGGGTGGGTGCACCCACAGAGAAAGCTCTACTCCTGGGGGTCGCCAGCCAACATTGTCTAGCCGACGGCACCCTGAGTAGGCCCTCCCTGTGAGAACGCACCAGGAGATGGGAAGCTGTTGCTGGTTGCAGATGGTAAGATGGGGTAAGATGGAGCTCCTCTTCAGGTAATCAGATAAGATGGGGCTCCTCTTGCCATTTTACCTGATTTCCAGCTCTGCATTTAAATATTTTCGGGGAGGGTTTATTTTCAGGGGAAGGGCTTATTTTAGCGCATGCACTCAAAAGCCCGATTGGGCTTATTATCAGGGGAGGTCTTATTTTCAGGGGAAAACAGGGTAGCTAGAGGTTCTCCCGAACTCCTGCAAACCCTCAGCAGCCCACCTCTGGAAGGATGACAACAATGGAGAAAGAAACCCACGAACCTCATTCATCCACAGAACAGGAAAGATAAAGTGATGCTTGATGTTTTGCAGTACTCTGCAGGAATCAAAAAAAATAAGAAAACAATGTTAGAAGATTAGTTTAGGCCTGCCATCTTCTGAGAATGCAAAAAATAAAAATGGCTGCAGCCAATTCGTTTTGAGTTCTATACTATTTTTCTCAAGAGCCCGAAACGACATTGCCTGATGGAAGGATGCCCGTTTTATTTGGTTCTTCCTCCAACGGTCACTGGGTTGGAAATGTCCATATTTACTTAGATCTTTGAGCAAAAAAGGCTAATGGCATTTTCCAAAATAGGCAAAATACAGCAAGGAGATCTCTGATCTGTCCCCATCCACACACACACACACAAACACAGCCAGCTGAGGGTTAAGGAAGCACTTGGCACACACCCAGGTCTTTATCTCCAACTTGGCAGCGATATACACACAGTCTGCCAAGTGCTTTTATTTCCACAGAGACAGAAAGATAATATACTCAGCGTACAAGAGTCCAACAGAATAATATTCTTCTCAGCAGTTTCGGACGAGGCTTTAGTGACTATCCAAGGTTTACTTTTGTTCGTCACAGGAATCACTGGCCACCACCCTCTATTATATAGTCTCTGGGGTGTGGTCCAGTGACTCAGTTCTAATCCCTAGCACGCCTCCTGAGCTGCTGCAATCGTTTATCACGCCTTCGTAGGCGTGCGTCCAGGAATGACGTCTCTCCCTCACTCTCATCCGAGACACCTGTCTCCCGGCTAATCTCCTCTCCCTCGGCCGGCTCCTGAGACAGTGCCAGAGGGGAGGGGCCTGGAGAGGGAGGCCTGGCTGACTCCTCTTCCTCATGCTCGGAGCTTTCTTCCTCCGATGGGACAGGCTCAGAGGGCGGGGCCACAACAATCTCTCTTTTTTGGTGGGCAAGCACACATATTTTTGGAAGGACGGAAGAGGTCAGCAAAGCAGATAAGGCCTTATCTATAGTGTGGATGGAAGTGTCTCAGACGATTGTCATTGGTTGATATCTTATTTTTTTCCCCCATTGATTTTAAAGCCTACACTCAACCGTTGTCCATCTGTCCTAACAGAGTTTTTTTTTTAGAAGAGGCTTCCAGGAGATCTGAAGGACAAAGTTGACCTATACCCGTGATGGTGAACCTATGGCATGCATGCCACAGGTGGCACTTATAGCCCTCTCTGTAGGAATGCCAGTTGTCACTTCAGACCAGCTCCATCGTGCATGTGCGCATGCCTCCTGCCAGCCAGGTCTTCAGGACTCTGCCGTGCATGGATGGGGCACATGCGGGGGACACACTTGCACATGCGTGGGGGTGGGGAGCATGTATGGGGGGCATTCACATTGCATTTTGAGGGGTTTTGCGTGTGCATGTGCCCCCCCTCTGCACCCTGCTTTGGGCCTGGAAAGCCTCTGCACCAACTTGGAAGCCAAAAATTGGTGAAGGGGGTGTGGGGGGTATGCACGGGGCATGGGGCGCATGAATGCATGGGGTGCAAGGCAGAAGTGAAATCTAAAATTTGTTACTACCGGTTCTGTGGACGTGGCTTGGTGGTGGTGGGGGTAATGTGACTGGGTGGGTGTGGCCAACTTTTTTTTTTTTTTACTTTTAAAAGCATTTTTTCTACAACCTCTTCAAGAGGTTGCAGAAAAAAATGCTTTTAGAAGCCTCTGACGATCAGGCAACTCAGCTGGGATCGTCAGAGGCTTTTAAAGGCATTTTTTTTTCCTACAACCTCTTCGGCTGAAAAATGCTTTTAAAAGCCTCTGATGATCCCAGCTGCGCCACGCGATCATCAGAGGCTTTTTTTTTTTACTTTTAAAAGCATTTTTTCGGCTGAAAAGGTTGTAGAAAAAATGCTTTTAAAAGTTAAAAAAACCCAGCCTCTGATGATCTCGCGGCTCAGCTGGGCATGGGGGAGGGGGCACAGAGATTTTTGCTACCGGTTCTCCGAATCATCCGCTGCCATCGCTACTGGATCGGGTGATCCGGTCCGAACCGGGAGCGTTTCACCCCTGGTGCAAGGCACATGCACAGTGGGCCCTCGCATTGCATTTTGGGGTTTCACGCATGCATGCTTTGGGCACTTGGCACCAATAAGATTACACATCACTGACCTATACAGTCTGCACATATAAAGGGGGCGGAGCTTCAGGGAGGAAGCCAGGCCTGACATTTTGCAGATTTTTGACCCTTCCTGATATGCTGTTGCTTATAAACCAGTTTTCCTGATAAGCATACATGCGGAACAAACAATCCACTTTTTCCCAATAGAAAAGAAATAACAATCAAGACTTACGTGATTTTTGAGTTCTGTCTCACCAACATATTAATCTGCAACCTTTTGGCATAGTGCAAGGTAAATCCTGTGGTCTAAAACAAAACAAATACAGTGAATTTTGTGGGTGGGGGAGCGGATATTCAAACCTTAGTGGCATCAAATGGAAAAATAATGTATTCAGATGCTGAGTTTGGAAGGGTTTTACCCAGGGGTCGGCTGCTGGGGATTCGCAGGGGTTCGGGAGAACCTCTAAACTAAGATTCTGTGCAGTTCGGAGAGCCCCTAAATCCCACTCCTGGCTGGCCCCGCCCACCCCGCCCCTCCCAGGAGTCCCCACACGGCCCGTTTTGGATGCAGGTAAGTGCAGGGCATGTGCGGAGGCTCGAGGAGGGTGAAAAATGGACCTATCAGAAGTTCGAAAAGGCCGGAAACGGTCCCGTTTCCAGCCTCCAGAGGGCCTCCGGAGCCTGGGGAGGCCGTTTTCACCCTCCCAGAGGCTCAAAAAAAAAAAATCCGGAGTCTGAGAAAGGCAAAAAAAGCCCCCCCCACCATGGTGCAGAAGGCCGACTAAGCCACGCCCACCATGGCCACACCCACCCAGCAACTGGGTGGAGAACCCCTTGCTAAAATTTTTGAAGTCCAACTCCTGGTTGTACCAACATTGGACAAGGTTGATTCTCAATCGCCAGGAAAGGAAGCCTTAGCTACCTTCCTCGTTTCAGGGATGTGATTGCAATCAATTGAAACCAGATATTCATCATTTTTGAAATTGATTCTTTGCTTTTAAGGTCGCTGCTACACATTTTTTAAATGTGCTTTTTTTTTTTTTGATAATATCTATAACGAACTATATACACATACATTTTATATATTACTTACTAATTTCTATATTCACTACAATTTATACCTATCTATTACACAATAACTCTTTCGTTCCTCTATAATAGCTTCTCTTATGTTTATACATTTATACATTAATTTTGGATTGTTTCTCCAATTAGTTATAGCCGTGATGGCGAACCTATGGCACGCGTGCCACAGATGGCACGCATAGCCATATCGGTGGGCATGCGAGCTCAGCTCCAGCACACATGTGCGTGCCGGCCAGCTGATTTTGGGGCCTTCTGGGCCCACCGGAAGTTAGCAAACAGGCCATTTCTGGCTTCCAGAGGGCCTCGGGGGTGGGGGGGAAGGCTGTTTTCGCCCTCCCCAGATTCCTAGAAAGACTCTGGAGGCTGGAGAGAGCAAAAAACAGGCTAACCGTGCCATCGTGTGCCAGTAGCAGGGGGAGGGGGGTCACACACGCATGTGCGGTGCAGGGTGCATAGAATTATAACCCTAACCCTAACACACACCCCACTCCTGGCACACAATGGCAAAAAGGTTAGCCATCACTGAGTTATACCATCTATTCCATGTCTCGTAATAAATCGTTTCCTCTTGGTCTTTTAATTCAATTGTTAATTTATCTGCTTCTGCACATTCTAGCACCTTTTTTATGATCCTTGTATTTGATGGAGCAAATCTTTGTTTCCAATTTTGTGCCAATGAAATCCTGGCAGCCGTAATTATGTGAAGTATAAGGTAATAAATTTCTTTCCTAATCTTCTCTTTTAGAATTCCCAATAAAAAATAGTTTGGGTTTCATAGCAGTTTTTTCCCCTGTCATTTCCTCTAACCATTTTTGGATCTTTAACCAATATGCCTTTGCTTTGGGGCATGTCCACCACATGTGGAAAAATGTCCCATGTTGATGATTGCATTTCCAGCAATTTGGTGCATTTTGTGGGGGATAACTTGAAAATCTTCATTCCATCTGTGGACCGAATGAACCAGGAGCAAACTTTCCTCTTCAGTGAACAAACACCAAAATTAACTTCCAGGGTCAAATTTCATGACAGAAAAGGTCTGGATATGGGTTTAATTTGCAGTCACTTACTGGTTCTACATCCAGAAAGGTTTTGTGTTCTTCCTCATCTGGCTTCAATCCATCAACAAATTGAAAAAGTTTGCTACTCGCGTGTAGGAAATGGGGCAATGTGATGTAGACTGGTCTGCCTATAGAAACAAAAGGGAAATGAAGACAATGTACCAACTGTATCATGAAGTTCCATTCTAGTAGCAAAGATCATGGAGATGATCTTTGGGACAGCAGCTAACCACTGTTGACCTTATTCACGAAGTACGAGCGCTAGTAAGCTTGGCAGATTGGACACCATCCAAATCGAAACTTCAAACCGCATTACTCACATTCAGGAAATGGTTGCAGAGGCCTTTCCTCTACCTACAGCTATGTCACAATAACTGGAAGTGTAAGTCATAAGGAATAGAATCTTTACATAGAATAACAGAGTTGGAAGGGACCTTGGAGGTCTTCTAGTCCAACCCCCTGCTCGGGCAGGAAAGCCTACACCACGTCAGACAAATGGTTATCCAACATCTTCTTAAAAACTTCCAGTGTTGGAGCATTCACAACTTCTGGAGGCAAGTTGTTCCACTGATTAATTGTTCTCACTGTCAGGAAATTTCTCCTAAATTCTAAGTTGCTTCTCTCCTTGATGAGTTTCCATCCATGGCTTCTTGTCCTGCCCTCAGGTGCTTTGGAGAATAGCTTGACTCCCTCTTCTTTGGGGCAACCCCTGAGATATTGGAAGACTGCTATCATGTCTCCCCTGGTCCTTCTTTTCATCAAACTAGACATACCCAGTTCCTGCAGCCATTCTTCATATGTTTTAGCTTCCAGTTCCCTAAATCATCTTTGTTGCTCTTCTCTGCACTCTTTCTAGAGTCTCCACATCTTTTTTACATCGTGGCAACCAAAACCGAATGCTGTATTCCAAGTGTGGCCTTACCAAGGCATTATAAAGCGGGATTAACCCTTCACGTGATCTTGATTCTATCCCTCTGTTGATGCAGCCTAGAATTGTGTTGGCTTTTTTGGCAGCTGCTCCACACCGATTAACAGATTAACAAGGGACCTTGCAGGTCATCTAGTCCAACCCCTTGCCCAAGCAGGAGACCCTACATCTGCCTCTACCTAGGATCGAACTGACATCCTCCTGATTGTGAGGCAACAGCTCCACCTCGATCACTGGATCACTGCTGGCTCATATTTAAATGGTTGTCCACTAGGACTCCACGATCCCTGTCACAGTTACTACTATTGAGCAAGGTACCACATATACTGTACCTGTGCATTTGGTTTTTCTTGCCTAAATGTGAAATCTACATTTCACCCTTGAATTTCATTTTGTTAGATAGCGCCCAATGTTCAAGTCTGTCAAGATCCTTCTGTATCTTAAGCCTATCTTCCGGAGTGTTGGCTATTCCCGCCAGCTTGGTGTCATCTGCAAATTTGAATAAAAGTTGTGTTGCTGGCCATGGGTTAACAAGGAGCACCCGAAGGCTCCAACTGGCGCAGAGTGCGGCCGCGCGGGTGGTTATGGGAGCAACATGGTGCTCCCGTGTGACACCTCTCCTGCGCGAGCTGCACTGGCTCCCGGTGGTCTTCCAGGTGCGCTTCAAGGTCTTGGTCACCACCTTTAGAGCGCTCCATGGCTTAGGACCTGGTTATTTACGGGACCGCCTACTACCACAAACAGCCTCCCACCGGCCGGTACGCTCCCATAGAGAGGGGCTCCTCCAGGTGCCGTCAGCCAAACAATGTCGACTGGCGGCCCCCAGGGGGAGAGCCTTCTCTGTGAGGGCACCTACTATCTGGAACGAGCTCCCCCCGGAGATACGGAGGATCCCGGATCTGCGCACTTTCCGCCGTGCTCTTAAGACTCTCCTATTCCAGCAAGCCAGCCTGGCCTAATTTTCTCCCCTGTTTTAAAATTCTTTTAAATCGAAATTTTAATCTGTTTTAAATTATTGGGATTTTTAAATTGTCTCGGGCTAAATTATTTAATCTGGTTTTAATTATGTTTCTAACTTTTGTATCTATGTATTTTATTTTGTGCCTGTTCACCGCCCTGAGTCCTTCGGGAATAGGGCGGTATATAAATTTAATAATAATAAAAAAAAGGAGTGGTTAACATCTTGATTTTTGGACCACCGTGGAGCAAAAGATAACCTAGCCTGTCAGAGATAAAACGGTTCCTCATGGATACATTTTTCTCCTTTGCATCAGCTCCGATGGGCCATACGTGGCCATGTTGGGTGTGGATATATAAACAGAAGAGTTCAGAAGATAGCTGACTGAGCATGCAATCCAAAAAGTCCAAAATTTTGATTTTGATGCAGCCAAAAGTCACGAACGGTATAGCCAAGATAGGGCCCAGTGTTCCAGTCTGTCAAGATCCATCTGTATCTTGAACCTATCTTCTAGGGCAGTGATGGTTAACCTTTTTAGTACTGAGCACCCAATGCACACATGCAAATGCACGCACACGTGCCCCAATCCCCAAAATGCAATGCGAGAGGGCCCCCCCACACGCATGCACCCCGCCCCCCCAGGCATGTACTCCCTGTGCACCGTTTTGGCTTCCAGGTTGGTGCAGGAGGCTTTCCAGGCCCAAAACAGGGCACGGTGGGGCTTCACGCGGTACCCCCACAGCCCATTTTGACTTCCAGGTTTGAGCGGGCAGCAGAAATGGAGTAGAAAGGTAGGGCACACTTGGGGGGGTAGGAGATCGGGGAAGGCACAGGCAGCAGAAATGGAGGATAAAGGTAGGGCGTGCTGGGGGGAACAAGCGGAGATCGGGGAAGGCCCTGCCCCCTGAGCATGCGCGGCAGAGACCCAAAGACCAGTTGGCCAGCGGGAGGCACGAGCGCATGCGTGGTGAAGCTGGGGCTGGAGTGACGGCTGGTGTGCCCGCAAAGTGGGATCTGCATACCACCTGTGGCATGCATGCCAAAGGCTCGTCATCACGGTTCTAGGGTGTTAGCTATTCCTGCCAGTTTAGAATCATTTAAAAATTTGGTAAATTCCCCTTCTACTCCCTCATCTCAGATGTTTATGAAGATATTGAAGAGTACTAGGCCTAAGATGGAACCTTGTAGTACCCCATTTCTTACTTCCCTCTATGTAGACCTATTAAGGACTACTCGTTGAGTTCAGTTTGTCAGCCAGTTACAAATTCGTCTGGTGGTGATGCTATCCCTCTCACATTTTTTCTAGCTTACCAAGAAGCAGGTTGTGGTCTACTTTGTCGAATGCCTTGCTGAAGTGTAAGTATAAGATTCCAGCTTCTGATACAATTTCAGTTTGAATTAACCCTATCCAAATCCCTCCTCTTTTCTTACCTTCTTTGCAGGGACCGAGGTCCAGAATTCCATTTAATGTGCAGTTCTGACTGATCTCCGATTCGGTGCAGAAGCAAATATTGTCAGGATTGTTAACGGGTGATGCAAAAGTCGACGGAGGGATAACGAAGTGATAAAGTGGAATGCCTTTCACTGTCTTCTCTCTATCAAATGTGGCAGAGAATGACCTGTATCGTAAAAATAATATGAATCGTGATCATACGCTATGATAAAAAAAGAACCATCAGTCTTGTCTATGGAATTTTCAGCTCTCCAGGTCATTGTTGTCCCAAAGGTGTTTTGTTTAAAAGTCAACTGGACTTTGTTTCTCCTTTTTTAAAATAATAATAATAATAATTTTATTAAATATACAATTTAAAAACATTAGACTTGGTGCAATTTGTCTGGTACATACTTTTCTAGCACTTTTTCCTTCGTGTATATTACAATATAATATCACACATATTCCATATATACTTTTTGTACATTCAATCACACTTCAGTTACATACATATTCCCTTCGTACCTATTCAAATCCAATTTATTCTTTTCTAATATTTCTTAATTTAATTTTATTTATTTTTCTCCCCTTTCCTTCACTCTGTTTCTAATTCTCTATCTCTACATTCCTCTTTTTCTCTAGCCATTTATAAAATGTATTGTTTCTCCTTGAAAATGTTTTGCTTCTCATCCTAGAAGCTTGTTTAGTTCTGCACACGTCTAGAACTGAAAAGTTTTCTTGGATGAGAAGCGAAAGCTCTCCAAAGAAAAACGAAGTCCAGGTGTCTTTTGAAAAAGCTCCTTTGGGTCCTCCACCAATCTTGTAGTCATCAATCACATTCCTTCAAGAATCAGTTGATCACCTACACATCTTGGATCTCGTTCCTTGATCAAACTGAGGGGATCTTCCATCAGATGACTCTCCACCATGGCACTGAGGTGAGGCAGGAGTGATAGGCATCTCACCAAAGCAGAAACAGAATTGACATCATTATTTTGTCTCAGAGGTGCTTTTTCAAGAGGCAACTGGACTTTCTTGTTTTTCTTTGAAGAGCTGAAGAAGCTTCTTCGGATGAGAAGCGAAACGTCTTCAAAGAAAAACAAGGAAGTCCAGTTGCCTCTTGAAAAAGCACCTTTGGGACAATCATGACCTGAATGACTGAGAATCTCCACAGACATCATTATTTTGGGAGGCAGAAGTTCTAAAAAGCCCTATTAAAAACAAAGCAGGAGCCTGGTTTAGCTCAACAGACAGAAGCACTGTAATTTAACACCAGCTGTCTGCAATTAAAGTAAGATCAAATCTCACCAGGCTCAAGGTTGACTCAGCCTTCCATCCTTTCTAAGGTAGGTAAATTGAGGACCCAGATTGTGGGGGCAATAAGCTGACTTTGTGTAAATATACAAAAGTATGAAGGCTATTGCACTGTAAGCCGCCCTGAGTCTCTGGAGAAGGGCGGCATTATAAATCAAAATCATCATCATCATCATCATCATCATCATCATCATCATCATCATCAATGAAATGCATTGTCAGCATTCCAGAACAACCCAACTCCAATGAAAAACTCCGAGACAGGCATCAGGTTCACCAGCCAATGACCCTGACCTCAGGTAATCTCCTTATCACAAGACCCATCACAAGATGACTCACAGATGATTCATCACAAGTTCCTCACTTGACACACCTACACCTAAGACCCTATAAACAGAACACCCATATCCCCTAAACTCCACGGAAGATGTTACCTAGCCTGGTAATGAAATATTCCCAAAGCAACCCACAAACTTGGAGAAGGAACCTTTACTCTCATCCTACACCTGAGCTACAGATATTTGCCACTGTAGCAAAAACTCAGGGATGGGATTCAGCCGGTTCGTTATCAGTTCTGGCGAACCGGTAGTTGTGACCTGCGGGTTGGCCTGTCCACCTGCCCTGGCACTGGACATGTCTGATTTACCTGCAGATATCTGAAGAAAAGAAACGGAGCACTTCACTCTTGTTGAGAAAAGGATGGAACGATGCCGCATCTGTGGGTTACAATCAGAACAATCTTGTGAATTGTGAGCCTCACAACCTGTACAAAAATCCTGCACCTGAATTCAAAGCGCGGCTGGATCTGACTGATTCCCTGTCTGTCCAACTCAGCTGTTCTATTGGATTATGAGAGGCCAAGGGAGGATGTTCAGAATGAAAGAAATGAAGACTATTTCCCTTTTAGAACACTTTTCTGGAGTTGGCTCACCTAGGATCTGAAGGCAAATTTGGACTTATAAAGAGCTTCCAGGTTGAAGCATTTATCAAGCATTTAGCCATGGTTTAGGAGCAGTGGTCGGTTGCTACCGCTTCACCCCGGTTCGGACGAACTGGTAGCGGTGGCAGCGGGAGGCTCCGCCCACCCACCTGGATGTCTCTGCACATGCGCAGAAGCATTGCACGCACAAGCGCCCGCCCGCTCACAAGCGAATTGGTAGCGACGGGATTTGAAACCTACTACTGCTTAGGAGGCTGCCTAAGATTGTGAAGTTTCTTTTAACCTTAACAATGAACATTGATGGAGCAAGAGACCAAAATAGTGCATTTTTTTTTTAAAAAAGTGGGGCAGTAGGAAGCATAATAATTGTCAAAGCAACACACTAACAGTGAACAAGCTTAACATTCCTCAGATAAATGTCCTATCACTAAATTTTGGGGTTGTATGGCTATTCTTGGTCCCCATTTAGAAAACCTTGTTAGGTGTACTTAGTGCTTCTGCTGGAAGCCACAATGAGACCAAATGAAGACATTTGAATGGTGAAGACAGGGGTGAAATGCTCCCGGTTTGGACCGGATCGCCCGATCCGGTAGCGATGGCGGCGGGTGGTTTGGAAAACTGGTAGCAAAAATCCCTGCCCCACCCCCACATGCCCAGCTGAGCCGCACGATCATCAAAGGCTTTTTTAAAAAACTTTTAAAAGCATTTTTTCTACCACCTCTTCTGACGAAAAAATGCTTTTAAAAGTTAAAAAAAAAAGCCTCTGATGATCGTGCGGCTCTGCTGGGATCGTCAGAGGCTTTTCAAAGCATTTTTTTCTGCAACCTCTTGGCCGAACAGGTGGTAAAAAAAAATGCTTTGAAAAGTCTCTGACGATCCCAGCTGAGTTACCTGATCGTCAGAGGCTTTTCAAAGCATTAGAAAAAATACTTTGAAAAGTTTTTTTTTTTTTTAAAAAAAAAAAGTTGGCCACACCAGTCATATTACCCTCCCCACCAAGCCATGCCCACAGAACTGGTAGTAACAAATTTTACATTTCACCCCTGGGTGAAATCCCATCCACATGTACTTGGACTCCAGCATCCTACACAAAACACAGCTTTTGTCCCTTTTCTAGATCCTTAAAGTTTCTTAATAATTTAGCCAGCTAGGTATTATTTATTTATTGGACAAGTTTTATTGGTTTTTCCCCCTCCCAATACACACCCACATATTTTTTTGAAATGGAGTATTGACCGTACCATATCATATCATATATAATTCATCCTATCCAAATATATTTCACTTAGTTGCAGTTCCTGCCAAAGTATTCTTTTTCCATATTTGTTAATTTTTCTATTCTTATTTTTCTAAACCGTATCTTCTCTCACCCTTGAATTCTATTTTTTTCTATTCTTAATCGTATGCGTTTTCCTTAATTTTATTTTTTTATTAATTCAATCTTTATCTTAATATATTTAAACGTTTTTGGGGGGATGCCTTTCTTCCATTTCATCTTTTTTTGTTTTACAGCAATCTTTCTTCTCTTTCCCTTCGTCTCCCTCCCTTCTTTTGTCCTTCCTACCTTCTTCTTCCCTCCTCTCCTATTCCTTCTCTACTTCCCCTTCCTTTCTCCCCCTCCTCCTTTCCTCCCCAGCTAGCAGTGGTGAAATCTAAAATTTGTTACTACCGGTTCTGTGGGCGTGGCTTGGTGGTGACTGGGTGGGCGTGGCCAATTTTTTTTTTTTACTTTTAAAACTATTTTGTAAAAAAATGTTTTCAAAAGGCTCTGACGATCCCAGCTGAGTTGCCTGATCAGCAGAGACTTTTTTAAAAAGCCTCTGCAGATCATGGAAACTCAGCTTGGATCGTCAGAGGCATTTAAAAGGGAAAAATAGGGGTTTTTTTCTTTTAAAAGCCTCTGAGGATCCCAGCTGAGCCACGCAATCATCAGAGGTTTTTTTTTTTTCTTTTAAAAGCATTTTTTGGCCGAAGAGGTTGTAGAAAAAATGCTTTTAAAAGTAAAAAAAAAAAAAGCCTCTGATGATTATGCGGCTCAGCTGGGCATGGAGGGGGCAGAGATTTTTGCTACCAGTTTTCCGAACCACCCGCCTCCATCGCTACCGGATCGGGCGATCCGGTCTGAACCGGGAGCATTTCACCCCTGCCAGCTAGGTATTATTTATGTGAAGACTCATAAATAATACCTAGCTCATTTGCTTCTCATCCTGTTCTTTTGGGGGGATCTTATCTTATCAAATAGGCTTCAGTTCCAACCTTGAATATCTTAATGCAGCCATATTGCTGAATGCACTGTAAGCCGCCCTGAGTCTCCGGAGAAGGGCGGCATATAAATCAAATTAAAAAAAAAAAAAATGTGTGCGGTGTGTTTTACCCAGAAATAAACATTCAATATCGTTCCATTGACATACTTACCGGTGCCATTCACTAAAGCACAATAACTTTTCCAGTATTCAACAGTCCTTAAAAAAAAGAAAAGAAAAAGAATATGCAGTTTAGAGGATGCCATGCAGTTTTCTTAGCTAAACATTTGTCTTCTGAATCTAAGGAAAGTGTGGAAATTCGAAGGGCAGGGTGCATATTCTGTTCTCAAGGTCTTTTATAATCGTACTAGCTGGACGCCCATGGTTCGCTACGAAACTATGTGATCGGACGTGATAAATTGACACTTAAAGCCTGAAACTTAACGTAGAATGTGTAACTCCATAGCATCAGAGCGTGTTCATATAAGGCAACTGGCAGTTGGAACAGAGGGGAAGGGGGAGTAGAATATCCTAGCCCACAGGCCGGATGAGTCATGCGCTGGCCACGCCTGGTTTAGCGAAGGGATAGCATCAGAGCGTATTAATATAACATAACTGGCACTTGGAACAGAGTTATTTTCAGGTGCAGAGGGGAAGTAGAATGTCTAACTCCTTAGCATCAGACCGTGTTCATATAAGGCAACTGGTAATTGGAACAGAGTTCTTTTCAAATGGGGAGGGGGAATAGAACATCTAACTCCTTAGCATCAGAGCGTGTTAATATAAGGCAACTGGCAGTTGGAACAGAGTTCTTTTCAGGTGGGGAGGGGAGTAGAACGTCTAACTCCTTAGTATCAGAGCATGTGAATATAATACTGTTTATGAAATGCTAATGATCTGTTGGTCATTTTGAAAAATCCTTCCTTAGTGAGCACCTAGAAGCCAAGAGGAACATATGTGCCAAATTTCAAGTTTGTAGGCTTTACCGTTCTGGAGATTTCGTGATGAGTGAGTGGTATTTGATTTATATATCTATAGATTCCATACAAGAAGGAGTTGGAAAAAAATAAGCATTTATGTTAAGATAGGAGGGACATATAAGGAATGTGTAAAGGCAATACCAGGATAGTATTTGTATAGCAAACATAAATCTGATAGACTAAAGTCACATGACTCTCTTAAGTGGACTGGAGGCTAAAACATATGAAGAATGGTTGCAGGAACTGGGTATGTCTAGTTTAATGAAAAGAAGGACTAGGGGAGACATGATAGCAGTCTTCCAATATCTCAGGGGGTGCCCCAAAGAAGAGGGAGTCAAGCCAGTGGTGAAATCCATTTTTTTTGTACTATTAGTTCTGTGGGTGTGTCTTGGTGGGCGTGTCTTGGTGGGCATGGCAGGGGAAGGCTATTGCAAAATCTCCAGTTCCACCCCACTCTGGGGCCAGCCAGAGATAGTATTTTCCGGTTCTCCGAACTACTCAAAATTTCCGCTACCGGTTCACCAGAACCTGTCAGAACCTGCTGAAACCCACCTCTGGGGTCAACCTATTCTCTAAAGCCCGTGAGGGTAGGACAAGAAGCAATGGGTGGAAACTAATCAAGGAGAGAACCAACCTAGAACTAAGGAGAAATTTCCCAAAACAAAACATCTCTCTAAACTGAAGTGTTGTAAAGTTTGAAAAAAAGTAAATAAATATAGCTGTATCTTCCCAAATGTGGTATACCTGTTGTTTTTATAACTCTGTATAATTCCCACCTTCTTTATATCATCTTTCCCGCTGTTAATTCGGTAAGGGCCATCAAATGTTTCATTGTACTTGAATGAGAGAAAGAGTGAGAACAGGAAATTATTATTTTTTTCACCTTGTTTATCACGATGAACTTTTCAGTGTTTAAAAATCAGCTGTCCAAAATCTAAATTATGTCTAACATTCTTAATTTTCTGTTTTCAGCAGGTGCTTCCCCTCCGGTACCTAGGACATGAAAATCTTAACTTTTGAAGTAGGGTTTCGCAAAAATTCAAACAAAGAAATAGTTCAGGGGAAAATATTTTAGATATTTTAGACCAAGTATTCATGTCTTTTAAAAGTAACCCAACCCAATATAAGATAAACTCCCAGGAATCTCTACATGATGACATGGAATTGGCCAATATTTTAACTTGCCTTGTCTGCAGATAGTTTATGGACACTGATGGTAATATTTCTACCTCCTTGATATTTATGGAGATTCTCCGTCATCCGGGTCATGGTTATCCCAAAGATGCTTTTACAAGAGGTGACTGGACTTTCTGTTTTTTCTTTGAAGACATTTCACTTCTCAACCAAGAAGCTTCTTCAGCTCTGACTGGATGGTGGGGAATGGAAGGATTTATACTCCTTGTAGAGAGCTGGTCATTTGCATCCTTTTGTTGTGGCTCCGTTGCCTGAGCCTGAGCTATTGACAGATGCAGACTCTGAGAGTGAGGGGGAGGAGTTGGCAAAGCCTCCCTCTCCAGGACCCTCCTCTCTGGCAATGCCTCCAGAGGACACCGAAGGCCAAACGATAGGCTCAGAGCCAAGCACATCCCGGCAGCCACAGGTGGACAGCGATGAAGAAGATAAGTGCTGGCTGGACCCTCGGCAGAGGCGCAGGGAGAAGCGTGCACCGCAGAGGGGAAGGGCCTTCTCCAGAGACTCAGGGCGGCTTACAATGCGTTAAGCAATAGCCTTCATACTTTTGTATATTTTATACAAAGTCAGCTTATTGCCCCCACAAACCGGGTCCTCATTTTACCCACCTTAGAAAGGATGGAAGGCTGAGTCGACCTTGAGCCTTGGCGAGATTCGAACCAGCAGTAATTGCAGGCAGCTGGATGTTAAATGCTGCTTTAGTAGGAGGCATTAGCCTCCTACGCCACTCAGGCTCCGGGTTTTAATGGAGCTGAGTGTTTTAATGGCCGGATGCCCTTCCTGTTACCAATGCGGACTTTTGTTCAGCAGATATATTCTCAATGTGCCCAGAGAGAGAAATATCTGCCGCTACCTAGGATCGAACTCACAGCCTCCTGATTGTGAGGCAAGAGCTCCACCTCTAGGCTACTGCACCACTCACCCATAAAAGACGCTTTTTGCAGACCAAAAATAACTTGTCTGCTGTAAAGTGACTCAAGACACCTTGGAGTCAAGCTGGTGTCTTATATGTGGCACATTAGAATATTTTTTGCCTATAAAGTAGATTTTTCCAGTTTGTTTCCCCCATCCACCTGCGATCCAGGACTGACCCTGCTTAGCTTTTTAGATCAGCTCTAGTCAGATAGGTGCTATTACCCGATGAAAGGAAACAAGATAAGAAAATTCAAGCTCTCATTTATTGCTATGACCTTTATTTCTAACATCCGATAGAATAGTTGATACCAGCAATGCTTCTGTATCTGCAATAAAAATCTGGTGACTTTTGATAAGTCATGCTAAGATAGAAATTATTGTTCTGATTTCAATGCCCTGAACTTTCTGAATTTTAAGGAGGTGTTTATGATATCAGCACAGATGCTTTTCTTAGAGTCATTAATTTTCCCTTTGAGTTTATACTTACAGGATGGAATATTCCAACGACTTTATCAATGTTTGGAAATGAAATTAATTCCAGGAAAGGATCTGTATAGCCCCAAAGTATTTCTTTCACGGTTCTCGTTTGGAGTAATTTGGATTTGGATCGTTGTATGAGCATATTCAGGATTTGAGATAGACTTGGATATAAAACAGGTGCAGTCTACGGAAAATGCAAATATGTTAACAAACTTAAAACTGGGATGAAAAATGGGCGAAAATGTTTTGTAACAGGCTTTCATTAAATCTTACATGTGATCAAATCACAGAACATTTTCGAGTTTCAATACTGAATAAGTGCTAAGGATTTGATTTATGTCAATACAATAGACAAGCATCACAGTTAAGTAATCAGTATTTTTGCAGTTAGATAATCAGTATTTTTGCGTACTTTCACCATCATTTCTGACTGATACTTGCATAGGACATAGAAGATAAAATTAATTTTAAAAGCTTCTGGAATAAAATAATAATTTCTGGTTAAAATTCAGAAGGCGGGAAGAGAACACCAATAATAATGAAAGGCAGAAATATTTTGTTAGGTGTAGAAAGTTATGACTAAGGGACTGTATACTTAATGCTACATGCATTGACAGCAGCGAGAATTGTATTTGCACAATATTGGAAAAATGAGAATACTCCACCAGATGAAAACATAATCCGGAAAATATTGGAATGTGCAGAGATGGATAGATTGACATTGAAAATAAAAGATAAAGAAGATACAGAGTACCATTGAATGTGGAATAGGTTTTATCAATGGTTAAATACAAGAGGTAGAAGTTAGATGAAGAAAGATTATTGTTATATGTAAGTAAAATACGAATGTTTTCTATAATTATAAGCATGCTAGTACAATTAATATGATCATAAACAAGCTAATATAATTATAAATATGGTTGTAATTATTACATGTATTATCGTTATTACTATCAGTATATCTATTATGGGTTTTTTTTTCTTCTTCTGTAAAATGAAATGCCCAGACAATACACTGTCTTCAAAATATTTATATATACAGTAGTGGGCAAAATTGTGGAAACTTTTTGGGAAAAGTGTATTTTTGAGGTTTGATGGCTAATAACACCACTTTTTGGGTGGAGTTTCAAGATAATCCTATTCCACTGCTGGAATGGCCTGGGAATAGCCCAGACCTTCACCCAATTGAAAATATATGGAGCCGACTAAAGAAACTTGTTAGTCAGAAGCGACCCAGCAATAAAACCCAGTTAATAGAAGCCATCATTCAATCTTGGTTTCATATTATAAGAGCTGCAGAACTAAAAGACTTGGTTCACTCCATGGGAAGACGTCGTAAGGCCGTCATTCATGCTAAAGGTTACCCAACTAAGTATTAACTGACATGGGGATCATTTTTGTAGATCTCATTTTTTTCTACCTGTTTCACTTTTCTTCTTTATACTGTAACTGCTATTCTAATAGCAAATCCTTCCTAAAAGTTACTGCATTACATTCTTGATTAAATTATCTTTCCATTGATATATAATTTAATGGTACTACTCCTAAAAAATTAGCTAGTTTTAGAAAATACACTTTTCCCAAAAAATTTCCACAATTTTGGCCACTACTGTAAATAAAAAAACTTGACTTAAAAAAAATAACGAAAGGTAGCATCACTTTGACTGCTAGAAAATATTTTCATCATTTTGATGAAAAGTTAAGAAATAATACCATAAGAATTAGACGGAGACGGATTTCCAAATTTTGCTGATCTACCTATCCCAGTCCCCTTTACTATCAACGAATTACCAACAGGTGGTAAGGCTGTATTTCTGGATCACCCAATTCATTCATCCCCAACACCCCAAAAAAATGGAATAAGAGAGAAGATCATTGCCAAATACGGAGAATACCCAAATTCAAATTTGTACTGATTTATTATTACAACAGTCAGATGAATCTTATGACAGAGTTTGCTTACCACAACAGCAAAGTTGACAGTCGTTATATTGTCACTTTCCAACCCGTTGGACAGTTCAGGTTGAAAAAGAACAATATTTTCCAGGTGGTAAGACAGGGTAGCATCATCGTGTTCAGTGATGTTTTCTTTGGGCTTATATCGCATCCTTGAGGGAAAAAGAGATTCCACTTCAGTTGTTCAATGCGGACAAAATCAGAAATAAGGAGAATTGCCACCCACAAGATTAGCAAAAATAAACAACAAAAAAAAATATTCATTGTTGTGTTGGAAATGTGAGGCAGTGCCAGGGACTTTTTATCACATGTGGCGGGAATGCCAAAAAACTACAAAATTTTGGCACAAGATAAAACAATGGTTAGAAGAGATATTAACGCAAAATATAGAATCGAAACCACAATTATTTTTACTGGATATTATAAAGGGCAACTACAACAAGGGTACAATATATCTAATGTTACATATTCTAATAGCAGCAAGATTGGCTTTTGCACAAAAATGGGAAAATAAAGACACCCCCGTAGAAGAAGAAGTATTAGCTAAAATATTAACTTGTGCGGAAATGGACAGGTTGACTCTGAAACATAAAGATAAGAATGAAACACAGTATTATGAAATCTGGTACAAATTTTATTACTGGCTTGACAGGAGGAGGAATGCTGGGATAAATGAGTATTGACGAGTTGAATGTTTAGAAGTTTTTATATTAGTTTTCTGTGATAAAAAGGAACAAACTTGGCATTGATGTAAGCTTCACAGATAAAAGAATCTACATGTTTGAAATGGGATAAATAGTGTAAAACTTGTATAGAGATAAGGAATTGTATCAGGGGTGAAATCCAGCAGGTTCTGACAGGTTCTAGAGAACCGATAGCGGAAATTTTGAATAGTTCGGAGAACCAGCAAATACCACCTCTGGCTGGCCCCAGAGAGGGGTGGGAATGGAAATTTTGCAGTATCCTTCCCCTGGAGTGGGGTGGGAATGGAGATTTTGCAATATCTTTCCTCTGCCATGCCCACCAAGCCACGCCCAAAGAACCGGTAGGGAAAAAAATTGGATTTCACCCCTGAATTGTATCGATTGCAAGGTATAACGTGACAAAAATGTTTAAACCGGAGACACCATGTCCAATGTTTTTAATTATTAATAAAAAACTTTTTTTTTAAAAAAAAGAAAAGAAATAAGTAGAGTTGCCACTCTCTTTGCCAGAGGACAAATAGAGATTTGACCATCTAACACTTTTCTTTCTTTTCCTGTCTTTCATCTCTACAACATGCATACATATAACATACACACGTAAATACAAAACATATGGTAAGGCCACACTTGGAATCCTGCATCCAGTTTTGGTCGCCATGATGTAAAAAAGATGTGGAGGCTCTAGAAAGAGTGCAGAGAAGAGCAGCAAGGAGGTTTGGGGGACTCAAGGATAAAACATATGAAGAAGGGTTGCAGGAACTGCAGAGGTGGGTTTCAGCAGGTTCTGATCAGTTCTGGAGAACCGGTAGCAGAAATTTTGAGTAGTTCAGAGAACCGGTAGTAAAAATTCTGACTGGCTCCGTCCCATCTGTTCTCTGCTTCCCGAATCCCAGCTGATCGGGAGGAAATGGGGATTTTGCAGTATCCTTCCCCTGAATTGGGGAGGGGAAGGAGATTTTACAGTATTCTTCCCCTGACACGCCCACCAAGCCATGCCACGCCCACCAAGCCACACCCACCGACCTGGTAGTCAATATTTTTGAAACCTACCACTGAGGAACTGGGTATGTCTAGTTTAATGAAAAGGAGGACCAGGGGAGACATGATAGCAGTCTTCCAATATCTCAGGGGCTGCCCCAAAGAAGAGGGAGTCAAGCTATTCTCCAAAGCAATTGAGGGCAGGACAAGAAGCAACGGGTGGAAACTAATCAAGGAGAGAAGCAACCTGGAATTAAGGAGAAATTTCCTGACAGTGAGGACAATTAACCAGTGGAACAGCTTGCCTCTAGAAGTTGTGAATGCTCCAACTTCTTCTTTTTTTTTTAATTTTTAAAGAAGAGATTGGACAACCATTTGTCTGAAATGGGGTAGGATTTCCTCCCTGAGCAGAGGGCTGGACTAGAAGACCTCCAAGGTCCCTTCCGACTCTGTTATTCTATTCTATTTACAGCCTCTTTTGGTAAGTTTTGCATTGCCCTCTCTGTGAAAAGCAATAATCTTCTTTCTCCTAATCAAAGGGGGATGGTTCAGATTTTGTTTTGTGTTGATGGCTGTATAGATAACCATCAAGAAGAACAAATCACACACACACACACACACACACACACTTGAAATAAGCTTTCTATTGTTGAAAGCCTAAGGATACAATTCAACCCTATGCAAATAGTTTACATTGAGCCAAGACTACTATATAATATTCCCATGGAAATTAAGGCATAACAAAGCTGGTTTGCAGAAACTGGATGAAAAATAACCACTGGTTGATCTTTGTTGTTGGTTGCCAAGTTGTGTCCGACCCATCGCGACCCCATGGACAACGTTCCTCCAGGCCTTCCTGTCCTCTACCATCCTCTGGAGTCCACTGAAGTTCATGCCGACTGCTTCAGTGACTCCATCTAGCTATCTCCTTCTCTGTAGTCCCCTTCTTCTTTTGCCCTCCATTTTTCCCAGCATTAGGCTCTTCTCCAGTGAGTCCTTCCTTCTCATTAGGTGGCCAAAGTATTTGAGTTTCATCTTCAGGATCTGGCCTTCTAAAGAGCAGTCAGGGTTGATCTCCTCTAGGACTGACCAGTTGGATCACCTTGCAGTCCAAGGGACTCACAGGAGTCTTCTCCAGCACCAGAGTTCAAAGGCCTCCATTCTTTGGCGCTCAGCCTTCCTTATGGTCCAACTTTCACAGCCATACGTTGCAAGTGGGAAAGCCATTGCCTTGACTATACACACTTTTGTTGGCAGGGTGATGTCTCTGCTTTTTAGTCTGTCTAGATTTGCCATAGCTTTCCTCCCCAGGAGCAAGCGTCTTTTAATTTCTTGGCTGCAGTCCCCATCTGCAGTGATCTTGGAGCCCAGGAAATTAAAATCTGTCACTACCTCCATTTTTTCCCCCCATCTATTTGCCAGGAATTGAGAGGGGCGGATGCCATGAACTTAGTTTCCTTAATGTTGAGTTTCAAGCCAACTTTTGCACTCTCCTTCTTCACCCGCATCAAGAGGCTCTTTAGATCCTCTTCGCTTTCTGCCATTAGTAGTGGTATCATCTGCATATCTGAGGTTGTTGATATTTCTGCCGGCAATCTTAACTCCAACTTTTGATTCATCTAGGCCCAGTAGTTAGTTGCTGGTTGATCTATTTGAATCCATTTTATAAGTGACAAGCAGTTGGAGGTGTTCCCGTTTATACAGAGCTGGACTTTCTTGGATTTTTTTTCCCCCTTGAAAACGTTTCACTTCTCCTCCGAAAAAGGATGAAAAGGCAACTGAGGAAGCTTTTTGGATGAGCAGCAAAACATTTTCAAGGGATAAAAAAGAAACAAACGTCCAGTTGATATTTGGAAAAGCATCTTTGGGGCAACCTAAAGAGCCTTGGTGGAGCAGTGGACTAAAGTGCTGTTAAGTAGCACTTATTTATTTATTTATTTATTTATTTATTTATTTATTTATTTATTTATTTATTTATTTATTTATTTATTATCATATTTGTATACCGCCCTACTCCCGAAGGACTCAGGGCGGTGAACAGCCAAAATAAAATACAGAGACATACAAAAGTTAAAAAACTATTAAAAACAGATTAAATAATTTAGGCTCAAAAAACAAATTAAAAACATCCAATTTATCTAAAAAACATTTAAAACCCAATTTAAAACCCAATTTAAAAGGGAGAGTTAGGCCACACCAGCCTGTTGGAATAAAAACGTTTTTAGGGCGCGGCAGAAGATGCGTAAGTCTTGGATCCTCCGTATCTCCAGGTTGCCAGCTGCCTGCAATTACTGCAAGTTCAAATCTCACCAGGCTCAAGGTTGACTCAGCCTTCCATCCTTTCAAGGTAGGTAAAATGAGGACCCAGATTGTGGGGGCAATAAGCTGACTTTGTATAAAAAAGAACACCGCTTTGGGGGGGGGCGCGAAAGCCCTACTAAGCAGGTATATACAAAAGTAGGAAGGCTATTGCTTAACGCATTGTAAGCCGCCCTGAGTCTCCGGAGAAGGGCGGCATATAAATCGAACCAATAAATAAATAAATAAATAAACCACGACCTGGATGACTGCAAATATCCATACATACGCAAGTGCACCACGATTTGTTCTCCAGCACAGAAAAAAATGGGGACTTGAGTTTTGAAAGGCAGCTTTCGGTTGTACTTTTAGAAAACCTTCATCCACAGTTCAACCAGTTCCTGAAAGAAGTGGTTGACATCTTCAGATAAATGCGCTCAAGCAATTATGTTTGATCATAATTGGTCATCTTGATTCCTTGCACGTAAGGAATAGAGGTTAGACTCAATCTCCCGATCTCAGTTGTGAAGGCTCCAGCACTGGAAGTTTTTAAGAAGAGGTTGGATAACCATTTGTCTGAAGTGGTGTAGGGTTTCCTGCCTAAGCAGGGGGTTGGACTAGAAGACCTCCAAGGTCCCTTCCAACTCTGTTATTCTATTCTATTCTATTCTATTCTATTCTATTCTATTCTATTCTATTCTATTCTATTCTATTTCTATTCTATTCTATTCTATTCTATTCTATTCTTCCACTCTACTCTACTCTACTCTACTCTACTCTACTCTACTCTACTCTACGATTCTATTCTATTCTATTCTATTCTATTCTATTCTATTCTATTCTATTCTATTCTATTCTATTCTATTCTATTCTTCCACTCTACTCTACTCTACTCTACTCTACTCTACTCTACTCTCTATTCTATTCTATTCTATTCTATTCTATTCTATTCTATTCTATTCTTCTATTCTATTCTTCCATTCTACTCTACTCTACTCTACTCTACTCTACTCTACTCTACTCTACTCTACTCTACGATTCTATTCTATTCTATTCTATTCTATTCTATTCTATTCTATTCTATTCTATTCTATTCTATTCTATTCTATTCTTCCACTCTACTCTACTCTACTCTACTCTACTCTACTCTACTCTACTCTACTCTACTCTACTCTACTCTACTCTACGATTCTATTCTATTCTATTCTATTCTTCTATTCTATTCTTCCACTCTACTCTACTCTACTCTACTCTACTCTACTCTACGATTCTATTCCTATTCTATTCTATTCTATTCTATTCATTCTATTCTATTCTATTCTATTCTATTCTATTCTATTCTATTCTATAGAAGGACAACTCCGTCCACCATTTTTAGTGGTTGTCTGTTTGTCAGTACAAGTTCTGAGCTACCTGCAAATTCAAGTTAAAAACAGACTTAGGCATGGTGGAACTTATTCTTAACCCAGGGAGTAGTTTACATAACTTTTTTGAAAAAGTGTTTAGCTGAAACTGTTCATTCTTTTGTTAGCATACGGTAGAATTATTTTCCATCTGATTTATTTCTTGGCACAATACCAGGCTTGTGAAGAGCTTTGCCTCCAGTTAATTCTTCAAATTAGGAACTTGCCCAAATGTGATTCTGTGAGTTAATTCAAGGCTACACAACTCTAGTTTTTTTTTTTTTTAATGTCCTTGGGATTTTTCTGCAGATTGCTCTGGGAATTATGGGTTAACAAACTAGGAAAGTACCTTGCATATTCTATGCTTATCTCTTTGGCACAATAATTGTCTTTTGTTCAAGATGCATCAACTTTATGATGTTGAAAACAGCAAACTTTAAAGATTCTCAGTTGAATAGATATATTTAAATACGGTAGAAACCATCTGAAATCATTTCTATTCCTGTTCCATCTGTGCTTTCTAATCCAATGTCTTCATGACATCCTCAGGTCTTGACCTACCTGTAAGTGTAAGGACCTTTCTGCTTCAGGATTGGATTAGAACCATTCATCATCACCTCCTCTGGGTTCTGGACATCAAAGAGCCAAAACTGTCGGTAAATGGGACTTCCTGGAACAACCCAATTCTCATAGGCAGTTGTACCCTTTTCGATGACAGCTTCCTGCAAGGAAGAACAGCAAGAGACAGAAAGATATCTCACTTAGACTTATATACCGCTTTACAGACCTCTCTAAGCGGTTTACAGAGTCAACATATTGCCCCCAACAATCTAGTTCCTAATTTTACCGACCTTGGAAGGATGGAAGTCTGAGACAACCTTGAGCCTGGTGAGGATCGAACTGCTGGCAGTGGGCAAAGTCAGCCTGCAATATTGAATTCCAACCAGTGTGCCACCAGGAAGGAGAATGAGAAAGGGAAGAAGGAAGGAAGGAAGGAAGGAAGGAAGGAAGGAAGGAAGGAAGGAAGGAAGGAAGGTAGCAATAGCACTTAGACTTATATACCGCTTCACAGTGCTTTACAGTCCTCTCTAAGCAGTTTACAGAGTCAACATATTGCCCCCAACAATCTGGGTCCTAATTTTACTGACCTCAGAAGGACGGAAGGCTGAGTCAACCTTGAGCCCGGTCAGGATCGAACTCCTGGCAGTGGGCAGAGTTTGCTTGCCTTACTGCATCTTAACCACTGCACCAGGAAGGAAGGAAGGAAGGAAGGAAGGAAGGAAGGAAGGAAGGAAGGAATAGCAATAGCAGTTAGACTTATATACCGCTTCACATTGCTTTTACAGCCCTCTCTAAGCGGTTTACAGAGTCAGATATTGCTGGTTAGGATCAAACTCCTGGCAGCGGGCAGAGTCAGCCTGAAATGCTGCATTCTAACCATGTTGCTATCAATCATTAATCTTCCAAATCAGTCATCATAACTGCTGTTTTTTTTTTTCTAATAGTTTGATGCAGTTCATTGGGCCCTCTGGCCCTGGCCCATGGACTTTGCAACTTGAGCATAAAAATAAAAAAAATATGCTGATTGTTACTGAGCAAAGCAATCTAGGCAGTTGCTGGAATTCAACAATAACCTGATGGCACGTAATCAATCGTTGTTCAATGCTGAATGCCATCGTTCTGTCTTCTACTGGCGACATCAGATATTATCTCTCTAATCATTTCTTGCAACAGGTAAATATTCTTTCGTCAGAGATAGCGCCCTTCTCATATGTTGAGAAGTGGAACTTCAACCTTTATAAAGTAGATAGTTGGACGTGATTATCTGCAAGGCTGTAATAATCCAAAGGAAATCCATTTTAGATGGTGATTTATGAACTGCTTGGCTTGGCTTGCCCTGGGCTGATTTTGTCAAATAGTCAGCAAGGTGTTTAAAGAGCCGATATTCTCATTACCCCAAAAAATGAAGATGACTTTAATTGTTATTCAGAAATCAGCAAGCTAAGAATCCTTTCCAAGCTTTTTTTTTTTTTCATAACAAACAAGACATATAGAATAATTGGTTAGAATCGAACTCCACAGCCAACCTATAAATCGTAACAACACAGTTTATGAAATACTGGTACAACTAGTCCTCGACTTAACAATCGCAATTGAGCCCAAAATTTGTGGTGCTGAGACATTTGTTCAGTGAAGTTTGCCCCATTTTATGACCTTTCTTGCCACATAAGTGAACCGCTCCACTTGTTATGTTAATAACTTGGTTGTTAAGCGAATCCCCATTGACTTTGCTTGTCCGAAGGTCGCAAAACGGAATCACCACGACCCCAGGACATTGCAACCATCATAAATATGAGTCAGTTGCCAAGCAGCTGGATTTTGATCACGTCACCATGATGATATCACAACGGTCATTAAGTGTGAAAAATGGGCCATAAGTCACTTTTTTCTAGTGCTGTTGTAACTTTGAACAGTTATTACATAAAGTGTTGTAAGTTGAGGAGTACCAGCATAGCATTTTCTTATGGATGTAGATATTTATTTTATTATTTATTATTATTATTATTTTTTATATGCCGCCCTTCCCTGGAGACTCAGGGCAGCTTACAATGCGTTAAGCAATAGCCTTCATACTTTTGTATATTTTATACAAAGTCAGCTTATTGCCCCCACAAACTGGGTCCTCAATTTACCCACCTTAGAAAGGATGGAAGGCTGAGTCGGCCTTGAGCCTGGTGAGAATTGAACTCGCAGTAATTGCAGGCAGCTGGATGCTAAATGCTGCCTTAGTAGGAGGCATTAGCCTCCTACACCACTCAGGCTGTATTTGATTTATAAACCCCAGTTCTTTTTTTTAAAAAAAATTGTAATTTTAGTAAAATAAATAAATAAATAAATAATTTTATTTCTATACCGCCCTTCTCCCGAAGGACTCAGGGCGGTGTACAGCCAATTTAAAAACACAACACACAACAATAATTAAAAATTAAAATAATTACATAGATTTGGCCGATTTAAAACCCCAAACATTTAAAATACCCCAATTAAAATTATTAAGTTGATAGCCCTGCCTGGCGGAACAACAGGGTCTTCAGTGCGCAACGAAACACTCGGAGGTCGGAGATCTTGCGTATTTCCGGGGGCAGTTCATTCCACAGGGCTGGGGCTCCCACAGAAAAGGCCCTCCCCCTGGGTGTCGCCAGCCGACATAACTTGGCTGATGGCACCCTGAGGAGACCCTCTCTGTGGGAGCGGACTGGTCGGTGGGAGGCTATTGGTGGCAGAAGTCGGTCTCGAAGGTACCCGGGTCCTATGCCATGGAGCGCTTTAAAGGTGGTAACCAACACCTTGAATCGCACACGGAAGACCACTGGGAGCCAGTGCAGCTCGCGCAGGAGGGGTGTCACGCGGGCACAACGAGTTGCGCCCATAACCACCCGCGCGGCCGCATTCTGGACCAGTTGGAGCCTCCGAGTGCTCTTCAAGGGGAGCCCCATGTAGAGAGCATTACAATAGTCCAGCCGGGAGGTGACAAGGGCATGAGTGACCGTGCGCAAGGCGTCCCGGTCCAGAAAGGGCTGCAACTGGCGGATCAGGCGAACCTGATAAAAGGCCCCCCTGGCCACGGCCGTCATATGCTCTTCTAAAGACAGCCGTGCGTCCAGGAGGACACCCAGATTGCGAGCCCTCTCTGTGGGGGGCAAAGATTCACCCCCAATAGTCAGCGATGGCACCTGCTGACTATATCGGGGCGCCGGCAGCCACAGCCACTCGGTCTTGGACGGGTTGAGTCTGAGCCTGTTCCTCCCCATCCAGACCCGCACGGCCTCCAGGCAGCGAGACATCACATCAAGGGCATCGTTGGGGTGGTCTGGGGTGGAATACATATTGGACATTTATACAACATATAAATAACTTATCATATTTAAGCATTGTTTCATAGTGGTTTTCCAGTTATTACTTTAATTCTTCTTCCCCTTTATCTTAATCTATTACTCCATCTTCTTCCCCTCCTTTTCCTTTCCCCCCTTTTTCCCCTATAGAGAACTATACATTTTAGTTATGTCTTTACTATTATACATTTCTACCTTCATATTATATACATTTTTATTCCACTCCGGACATACGATACTTCTCTATTTTGTACTTCTATTTTTCTCTCCTAATAGTTATTGTTCTTTGTTGTTAGTCTTAAGCCAGTTATACCATTTATTCCATATTCAATAATATTCTGTCTCTTCTTTTTCCGTGATTTCTTTTGTTAATCTGTCCATCTCAGCGCATTCTAAGATCTTATCTATTAGTTCTTCCTCCGTTGGGGTTCTTTCCTGTTTCCAGTTTTTTGCATACGTTATTCGTGCTGCTGTTAAGATGTGTAGCATCAAATATTTTATTTCTTCGGAATATGGTTTTGTAAATATTCCTAACAAGAATGGTAACTCCAGTAGGACTAATGACAAGATCCAAAACTTTTTTAGGGGTGGGCAGAAGCGAAGGGTGAGAAAGGATAACAGAAAGCAATGGAACTTCAAAGATTAATGGGGATGCTTCAAAGATGCAGTGAGAAGAAGGAAGAAGAAGAGACGTCAGTCCTCAAGGTTGATTAGAAACAAAATGAAATACAATATCCGGAAGTTTTTAAGAAGAGATTGGATAACCATTTCTCTGAAATGGTATAGGGCAGTGAGGGCTAACCTTTTGTTCTGGCCCAGCTCCGGATTCCCGAGGATATTGACACACATCAATGGTCCTTATCAAATTTATTAAGTAGCAAGAATAAACCAAAGTCCGGCACCTCACGGTTAGATTATCGCAACACGCTCTACATGGGGCTACCCTTGAAGAGTGTTCGGAGACTACAGTTGGTCCAGAACGCAGCCGCGCGAGCTGTCGTGGGTGCACCTAGGTACACCCACATTACACCAATTCTCCACGAGCTGCACTGGCTCCCTATTGATCTATGGTTACAATTCAAGGTGTTGGTTATTATCTTTAAAGCCCTACATGGCTCAGGGCCAGGGTATCTTCGAGACTGCCTTCTACCACATACTCCCAGCGACCGGTAAGATCCCACAGAGTTGGTCTCCTCCGGGTCCCGTCAGCTAAACAATGCTGGCTGGCGGGCCCGCATTGGAGGGCCTTCTCTGTGGCTGCCCCAGCTCTCTGGAACCAGTTACCTCCTGAGGTCCGGACCATCCCCACCCTATTGGCATTCCGAAAAGTAGTGAAGACCTGGCTTTTCTGGCAGGCCCGGGGCCGTTGATCTTGCTGTTACAATCTGGCGAGATCTGGCCATGAATAGTGTGAATGGGTTTTAATTGTTTTTAATGGTTTAACTTTTAATGTTTTATATATGGTTTTTAAATGCATTGTAAGATGCCTTGAGTCTTCGGAGAAAGGCGGCATACAAACAAACAAACAAACAAATAAATAAATAAATAAATAAATAAGGCTCAGGCTCAACCCATCCAAGACCGAGTGGCTGTGGTTTCCGACGTCCCGATATAGCCAGTTGACGCCATCACTGACTATTGGGGGCGAATCATTGGCCCCCACGGAGAGGGCTCGCAACTTGGGCGTCCTCCTGGATTCACGGCTGTCTTTAGAAGAGCACTTGACGGCCGTGACCGGGAGGATTTTTTATCAGGTCCGCCTGATTTGCCAGTTGCGTCCCTTTCTGGATCGGGACTCGTTACGCACGGTCACTCATGCCCTCGTCACC